TACTGGTGAGTTCTTTGGGACTAAAGGCGAAGATGTCCACGAATTCCCTTATCGTTTGCAGTAATTTTTCCTGCATGTCATCCGACAGGTCTTTTCCTATACGGGTTGTCTTCTCCCCAACCCCTTCGACCAGCTCAATCTCAAGGAGCTCGTCCCGAGTTGCGACATCGACCCGAACTTGCTTCTCCTGATGTCCAACTATCTCCTCGGCCTTTCTTTTTCCCGACTGCCCTTCTTTGATTGTCCCTAACCTCCCCTACTCCAGCTTCTACGGGGAATTTCAGCTTCCTGCAATAGGTTGAGACTATCGCCCTGAAGGTGTTCAAGCTGGGTCGCCCTAGTATCACGTTGTATGCTGATCCGGTGTGAACGACCGGAAATCCAATCATCTTCACCTGTCTTAGGGGTGTTTCCCTTAACGCCACTGGGAGGACAACTTCACCAAGTGGGACTACTTCTGCTTCACTGAAACCGTACAAGGCCGTTTGCACCGGCTGCAGGGGTAGATCTAACTTCATCTTATCGAGGCAGTGTTTGAAGAGTATATCCACCGAACTTCCTGTGTCCACAAAGACACGCTCGACATCAAAGTTTGCTATCTCTGTCGTTACTACCAACGCGTCATTGTGGGGCGTTGCAACACCCCCAAGATCTGCTGGGCCAAAGTGAATAAGGGGTATCTCCTCCGTCAATTGGACCTCTTCTCTCATCGGCTCTTTCGATGCCCTTCCATACCTCCGCCTTGCCCGATTCGAGTCTCCATCCGTCGGGCCTCCGGAGATCATGTGAATTATCCCTTTCTTCTGTTGGTCCTTATCAGAATCCTCACAATCGTCTCGCCCCCTCTTCTCATTTTCTTTCCTTCCCCCTTCTGGGTCTTTGTCCCTTAGTACGAACTCTTTCAAATGTCCTGCTCGTATTAACCTCTCCACCTCGCCTCTCAGCTCCTTGCAGGCATCAGTGGTGTGACCGTACTTACTGTGATATCAATAATAGAACTCTAGTCGTCCAATGGGCACCCCATTTTTTCTTGGCAGGGGTCGAGGTCGATCTAGAATTTCTAAGTTGACTCTTTTCTCTAACACCGCAAACACTTGCCCCCTTTGCGCATTCATAGGCGTATAACGGTTGAACCTTCAGCCCAGTTTCCACCCCTTCTTGTCTACCTGCTTACTCTCTCGCCCCCTTTTCCTGTCATCGGGCCGAGGGGGTCGTTGCTCTTGTTTCTTTTCCCTTCTGTTGTCCCTTACGAGGAAGTATGCTTGAGCCTCTTTCATGTTCATGTACTTGCCTCTCTCTCCAGTAGTTCATCGAAACTTTGGGCCGGTCTTTTGGATAAAGAATCTCGAAAGGGTCCCGATCGCAGCCCACAGGTCAGTCCACCAGCTTTTATCTCTTCTGCGGCGATGGGCACTTCGATGCATGCACGAGTGTAACGGGCTATATAGGCTCGTAATGTCTCCTCTTCCCTCTGCTGCTGGTTTATCAGGGATAAGTACGTCTTCTCATGCTTTCTCGTGCTCGCGAACTGGTTAGTGAACAATGAGCTGAAGCCTCGAAAATCTTTAATAGTGTCTGGTGCTAGCTGGTGTAACCAATCTTAGGCAGCACCTTTCAACGTGGTCACAAAGGCCCGACAGCACACCGTGTCGATGTACCTGTGCAGCACTGCTATGTTCTCGAAGCTCCTTAGATGTCGAGCCGGGTCGGTAGAGCCATCATACGCCATGGTAAGCTCTCGAAACCCCTGCGGCAGCTCTGCCCTTAACACGTCTTCTGCATATGGGTGGCGTGGATGACACAGATTTCGACGCCCATTGACCTTCTGTTGAAGTTTGCGCAGCTGCTCTGCCATGCGCTCTAAGACTGAGTCTCTTGGCGGCTGTGATAAGGCCCCTGATGAGTGGACCGACTGCTCTGGCTCGTGCCCCTGTCCTCCCATGACCAACTGCTGCCCGACTAGTCGAGTTGTTGCTTCTGGTCGAGCTATCGCCTCCTGCGCCTCGGGTCGAGCTTCCACCCCTTGAGCGTCGGGTCGAACAACTGCTCCCCTAGCTGGCGGTGAGACCGACGCCATTCTCGCTTCCACTGCGGCTGCTATCATCCTCTCCAACGCGCTAGGTGTGATCTGTATGGGCTGCTTCCGAGAAAGAAGCTGGGTGTTTGCTCCGGTCCCTTCCGCCGTCTCCTCATAGAGCTGCGTTTCCTCTCCGTTTGTCCCACGGCGTAATACGCCCGTGCCCGGCCTTGTGCGTCTCCATTACATCAGTTTGCACCGGGCTATTTGCAATTGCTCCAGCATGTTCCGGCGGCCATTGAATGGCGGGGGCTGGGGTCACCGGCGTGCTTCCGCATAACACCCATCCCGGCGGCGGCCCCGCCCCCACAGGACGCTTGTGCAACCACGAGTTATCATCTTCCCTCTGCTCTTGTTCTCTTTCTTGATCCATCTTCTTCACTTCGTTTTATCTTCCTTAATTTGTTTTCCGATTGCTATATATGAGATACCACCAGATCAACGCTGGTTGAGCTAGGATTCCCCACATACGGCGCCAATTCGATATGGTCCGAGATGAATGACTCCGGTCTTTCAAAGGGTTCTTCACGATTGTGGCGTAAATGCGTTTAATTCGGTCCGGTCCAAGCTTGAGTGTTCGCCGGTACCTGCAAATACGCCGGAATTGCTCCGGCGCAAGACCCTCCGATGCCCAAGTCAATATTTCGGAATAAGAGAATTGTAATGTGTATTGGATGTAATAGTAATTGTAATAAATGATGTCTTATCTTTTGTTTTGGGATTCAATGTATATATAGAATTTAATTGTACGGATTACCTCCTTGCTCGATGTCAATGCATATGGGTCGACTTCCGGGTCTAAGCTCGACCACCTGCGTGGGTCGACGCCCCTTTGACCTTTGGTCTATATTCGACCACTCCGTGTTAGACCCATGGAAGAGATGTACGATATTGGCCTTTGGTCTATATTCGACCGGTCCATGTTCGACCGCTCCTATGTTTGACCAGTCCATGTTCGACTCATGGAACCTTTTGGTCTTACTCGACCGGTCCATGTTCGACCGCGCCTTTGTTCGACCCATTCACTGGACTTTATCCCGTTACACCAAGTAAGTATCATAATCCCTATCACAGTATATTTAACTCTCCTTCAAAATGATGAATAAAACTATAAGCCACAGCCCCAAACACCCAAGATCAAGTTATCACATGAGTGACGGATGTATAAGGATATAATCATGGGTGCACTACTATCTTTGGGTTGTAGCCATACTTAGCAAACATGTTCGATTGCATATAAATTCCATCAATCCAACCAAATAGCGTAGGGTCTAAATGGAAGAGTCTTAAAAGTCAACAGATTCAGTTCTGGTGCCTCACAAAAGCGAAATGAACAAAATTTCGAAAATTGGCCCGCTACATTTGTTCTTAATTATTAATTGTATTCGGCGCCTCCTTAGAATAAGTAAACCTTTTGTCTTGCATGCTAGGACTTAGTTCTACAAGCATTCGAAGAAAATGCTTCATCTTCTCCACCTACCCACTAAACAATACCCACTTAGATAATTTAATCGGTACGATACATTATGCACTTAAACTTTAAGCCAATTAAATAAATGAAAGTTGGGTTAGTATAAAATATTTTGAGCCAGTGGTGAATAACTCAGCTTTGTAGAGGTAGGAATACCCGTAAAGATCTAATAAGGCATTCCCGAGGACCCAACTCATTTCATCATTTTATTTTATATTTTTCCTTTGGTTCATAATCATAGATCGTGCTATTATTTTTTAGAGCGGCTTACCATGAGTTACTAATTTGATTAAATTAAATGCATTTTTAACTCTTCAATTAATAAACGATTCTTCCCGTTGAATTAACTTCTTTAAACATGAATTCCAATTGACAAATTTTCTCTCTCATTATTTCATCTCATGAGCCTATACTAATCATCTATTACATCATCATCATCATCAGATGGGGGCATATGAATCAATGCTCAGTGGTTGTGATTTTGTAGAAAATTAGTATATGAATATGATGCACTATACCTATGCAATATAAAATTCTATGAGATCTAGACACACACACACACACACACAAAAAAAAAAGTTATGCTAATAATCTATTTGTACAACAATTAGATTTACATAGGAAACGATTGGGTATGATTCGAACGACCTAATTAAGCTGGTGCTATTTAAGCACATCACCATTAATTAATATTATCAAAATCTTGGAACCTTTGAACCATCAAACATGACCCAGTGTCATTCGAAATCTATATATATAATTGTTGCCAAGTTTCAATAAATTTTATTCAACCAACAATTAATAAAAATAAACTTCATTTAACAAAAATCTTTATGACAATAAATTTTATTCAGTCAACAATTAATGAACATAGGACTTCATTTAATAAAAATCTTTATGACCAGCATTCAAATAACAGTTACACAAGTAAAACCTTATTATTAATAATTTTTTATTCTGTAACAGTTTACAAGATTTTAAATTTTCTGAATATACAATATTAAATTATTTTACAGTTAATATTCCTATTATGTTTTATAGTTATACAAAAAAAAAAAAAATTATATGAATGTTAAATAATTTATATTTATATTATACATTTACATATACTCAAAATTTTAAAATGTAATACACACTTTGTCTGATTTAAATTTTTAAATGTCATATACTTATATATATTATATAATTTTTTATTTTCCTTTGTGCATGTGCACAGGATCGAATACTATTTTTCTCTAACTAGAAGAAATATTTTAGAGTAATGCTATAGAGCCCACTTGGATGACAATTTGAGTTACAACTCAAGTGTAAATGCATTATTTTTTAATTTTTTTTATAATGCATTTGCACTTGAGTTGTAACACAAATAATCATCCAAGTGGGCTAAATAACGTTACTTAATATTTTATACAGTAAATCATCTTAATCAGTTCCTTAACAATGATTGCTGACATGAAGGGGTTGGTTAGTGAAACCAAATTGGACTTAATTTAGGATGCCAATTGCCAATATTCTGTTATTCAACTTGTCCACAGAAAAAGTCAAAAAGCAATGTTATTCCATATAGTATATCTAACTTAGTTTAATTAATGACTCGGTTTTGAATTTTGACATAATGCTAGTGTAAAAGTCAGCTACAATATGAAATACCCACTCGAGAGTTTCCCAACATATGAAATAGCCCCTCCAACGATCGTAATTATTTTCATTTTGAGACCATTTCGTTTTAGTAGCTACAATATGTAATTCAGATTAGAGCATTAGTTTACGACTGAGATCGGATTAAGATAAATTTTAATGTGAGAACAGTTAATAATATATAATGTTATTTTTAATTATGGATTCATCGAACTTCCGAATGTTTATACTCCTCCGCCATTTCTACATGAGTTGATATTTGGTACGGGCCCCCGGAGCAAACACTTCCAAGAAAACATTCGTTTCTACAACATGTCTTGTTTCACATCCATGGAAGGCAAAATTGACACTGATATAAATAAGGGCAACGGCCCTCCTGTCTTCCGCTTGCATAGACAAAACTACCATTTGATGGGTAGTTTGCTACCAAACAATGGCGCTCCTCCCAAATTTGCACAACTATACATCTATGACACGGAGAACGAAGTAGCTAACAGGCTCTCTTCTGTCAGGTATATTTATATTTATATTATTTTCTATGGAAGAATTCCTTACATATTATGTTAGTCCCATTCGTTTACATCTTACTATTTTATTAAAATCATTAATTTTATTATATTCTTTTTGTCAGGAGAGGTGCTGAAAGAAATAACCTTGATGGAGATATAGTTCGTGGTTTGCAAGCCTTGCTCGATCTTCATAATGTGTTGGTTAAGTCTTTTAGAATGGCGAGGGAGAAGGTGAACCAGCACGAAGGTTGCGACGTTAAGATGCGCCTTATCGGTAAAAAGAACAAGGATGGTCAGCGGTACAATTTACCGTCCACGTCCGAAGTTGATGCCTTAGTTGTTGGCGATTTCGATGATGCTATGGCAGCCGGGATATCATAGTAGAAAATCGAAGTGGACGTCTGCAGCGGATCAATGAGTTGAACGCTTCATACTTGGCTCTCCATTATCCTGTTCTTTTTCCATATGGCGAGGATGATTATCGGGAGGACATTTCTTTCTCTCCACTAAAAGTGATTACGGAGAGGTTGAGGAAATTTATCAGTCCATTGGAGTTCTTCAAATATAGAATGCACGATCGTGACCACGAATTATCAACAATCCTTTCGGCTCGGAGGTTATATCAGCAGTTTATTGTCGATGCTTATACGATGGTTGAAGGAGCTCGACTTAGATACATCCGTTTCAACCAGGATAAATTGAGAACTAAAATGTATAGTCGTCTCTCAGATGCTGTGTTGCGTGGTGACACCGATCCTGGTTCTCAAGGAAAACGGACTATACTTTCGTCATCCTTTACTGGTGGGGCGAGATACATGATTCAGAACTACCAGAATGCCATGGCCATTTGTCGTTGGACAGCCTATCCAGATATATTCATAACCTTCACTTGCAACCCGAAGTGGCCAGAAATCAGTCGCTTTTTAGCCGAGAAGAATCTCAATCCCGAGGATCCTCCCGATATAATATGCCGTGTGTTTAAGGCGAAATTGGACGCATTGATGCACGATCTTCGGCATAAGAAACTATTTGGGGATGTGAACGTAGGTATTTAATATAAATCATTTTGAGTTAGTATCTATTTTTTAATGCTTTTTTTTTATTATGTTTGACCTAATAATTTTTTTATTACAGCGCTATATACGATTGAATTTCATAAATGTGGCCTTCCGCATGCACATATCTTGCTATTCTTGGCCAAAGAACACAAGATAAAGACCACCAATGGCATAGATAAAATAATTTCTGCTGAGATACCGGATGAGGCCACGAACCATTGTACTATGCCGCTGTTAGAGATCATATGATGCATGGTCCCTGTGGAAGCGTTCGTCCGAAATCTCCGTGCATGGCGAATGATTGTTGCACGAAGCATTTTCCTAAGAAGTTCACCGAAACCACCACATTTGACGACGAAGGCTATCCACAGACGTCGTGACAATGGTCGGACCATAGAAAAGAACGGCGTTCCACTGGATAATCGATATGTGGTGCCTCATAACAGGAATTGCTGCTTAAGTACGGTGCACACAAAAACTAGAGTGGTGCAATCAGTCAAGGTCAATCAAGTATTTGTTCAAATACGTGACGATCGTGTTACTGCCACCCTCTAAGAGTCCAATGGCGATGAGTCCTCTGTTAGGATCTGTGAGGATCTCGTTATGTACAAGTCAAGAATTCAATAGCAAACGTAAACCTATGCGCAGCGGATCTAAAGGTTTGACGTAGAGAACTTACGGCTTAAAATTTATGTAGATCTGGTAGACCACGAATGGTTGACCGCAATTGATTGACCACAAATCACGTCTTGTGTTGCACGAACAATATCAGATCAAAATCGGATCAACCGGATGCATACAGATCAAAACGAAACTTTGCAGCCTGGGAGTTTCCGGCGGCGCGTGAGGGCGCGTGAGGCGTCGGACGGCTGCGATCTCGGCGGCGATGGAAAGTTCTCGTCGAGACGGTCGTCTTAGTATGTTGTACGTCTCAATCGGACTTCCGGTTAGTTCTGTAAGTCAAAATATATTTCTTCTCGGTTTACCTACAGATCTTCTACTGTATTACTCAATACACCCTTCTTCTACTTGTACCAGTGGAGCAACAAGAAGAAGATAAAGCTCGAATGAGATCTAGAGAGAGAGAGGCGTGGGGGGTTATTCACGTGTGATTAGGAATTCTCTTTTTTTTCTCATGAGCTTAATGATGTATATATAGAGCTATAGTAGGGACCCTTAGAAGATTAGGAAAATGGCTCTTTAATTAATTAGACTAACTGTGGGCCAAGCTCACTCCTCTAATTAGATAAATAATATTAATGGGACACCAACATTATATTATTGCACTCCCTTTTCCTAGCCCAAATTACATTTGAGACTCCAATAATAATTACTCGATTTACCTCCCCACGTTTAAGATATAATGTCCATTAATTAATTCGATTACTGACAATCAAGAATTAATTAATTTATTCTTATTTCACCGAAGCTCGCGCTCGTTCATCTCATTCTTATTATGCCGGAACTTAATCCACATGCAGAGTTTAGCATAACAATCCTTCATGAACTCACTCCGGGGACATCATCAAACTAACGCACATGGTGACCGTAAATAACCTAACAGCACATCTTGTATATAATAATATTACCCAAAACAGTAGGAATATTAATCCAGCGAACTGAACATCAACCATGTAAATCAAAGTAATATATATTATATATATCTGCCTGTTTAATATCTTACGGGTTAAGAGAACGCAGTAATTAACTGAGGCTTAGTTCATTTACGACGATCAATATAAAATGAACTTCTCCTCTCTGGGATCATGTTCAATACATAAATGTACTAGTGCAACTAATCAGTCAAGACAAATTGTACAGTTGACACTACAACCGTTCGGATGGGGTGTTCATGTCCATCTAGGTTGTGAACAATTATTTTTGTTCGCAAGTGACTGATATAGTGATCTTCGGTTCGTCCGATGACGACCCACCCTATCTAAGTGTAGAACAACAGAACGTAGAACTTGTTTAATCTAACATGATTCTCATTCATAAAGGCTAAATGTGTAATAACATGCAAAGCCAAGCTTTTAGTATATAACACTAACAATCTTCCACTTATACTTAAAGCTTTCGCTTTTACAGTATAGTCCTATCAATCTGTTATTCTAAAAGACCTATGTCGATCCTATTGCCATGCTCATGACTCCCATTCCTTCCACGTGTTTGACGAAGACCTTCCCCAGCAAACTCTTCGTGAAAGGTGTTGGGATCTGTGAGGATCTCGTTATGTACAAATCACGAATTCAATAGCAAACGTAAACCTATGCGCAGCGGATCTAAAGGTTTGACGTAGAGAACTAACGGCTTAAAATTTATGTAGATCTGGTTGACCACGAACGGTTGACCGCAATTGATTGACCGCAACACGCGTCTTGGGTTGCACGAACAAGATCAGATCAAAACTGGATCAAACGGATGCAAACAGATCAAAACAAAATTTTGCTGCCAGACACCTTCCGGCGGCGCGTGAGGGCGCGTGCGGCGTCGGATTCCGGCGACGTCGGCGAGGATGGAAAGATCTCGTCGGGACGATCGTCTGGGTATACTTTACGTCTCAATCGGACTTCCGGTTAGTTCTGTAGGTCAAAATCTCTTTCGTCTCGGTTTACCTACAGATCTTACTGTATTACTCAATACACCCTTCTTCAACTTGTACCAGTGGAGCAACAAGAAGAAGATAAAGCTCGAATGAGATCTAGAGAGAGAGAGACGCGTGGGGCGTGTATATCTCGTGAATATGATTGGGATTCTCTTCTCATGAGCTTAATGATGTATATATAGAGCTACAGTAGGGACCCTAAGGAGATTAGGAAAAGGGCTCCTTAATTAATTAGACTAACTGTGGGCCAAACCCACTTCTCTAATTAATTAAATAATACTAATGGGCCACCAACATTATATTATTGCACTCCCCATTTGAGACTCCAATAATAATTACTCGATTTACCTCCCCACGTTTAAAATATAATGTCCATTAATTAATTCGATTACTGACAATCAAGAATTAATTAATTTATTATTATTTCACCGAAGCTAGCGCTTGTTCATCACATTCTTATTATGCCGGAATTTAATCCACCTGCAGGGTTTAGCATAACAATCCTTCATGAACTCACTCCGGGGACATCATCAAACTAACGCACATGGTGACCGTAAATATCCTAACAGCACATCCTATATATAATAATATTACCCAAAACAGTAGGAATATTAATCCAGCGAACTGAACCTCACCCATGTGAATCAAAGTAATATATATTATATATATCTGCCTGTTTAATATCTTACGGGTTAAGAGAACGCAGTAATTAACCGAGGCCTAGTTCATTTACGACGATCAGTATAAAATGAACTTCTCCTCTCTGGGATCCTGTTCAATACATAAATGTACTAGTGCAACTAATCAGTCAAGACAAACTGTACAGTTGACACTACAACCGTTCGGATGGGGTATTCATGTCCATCTAGGTTGTGAACAACTATTCTTGTTGGCAAGTAACTGATAGAGTGATCTTCGGTTCGCCCAATGACGACCCACCCTATCTAAGTGCAGAACAACAGAACGTAGAACTTGTTTAATCTAACATGATTCTCATTCATAAAGGGTAAATGTGTAATATCATGCAAAGCCAAGCTTTCAGTATATAACACTAACAATCTCCCACTTATACTTAAAGCTTTTGCTTTTACAGTATAGTCCAATCAATCCGTTATTCCAAAAGACCTATGTCGATCCTATTGCCATGCATCCTCTGATGCAATCTTGGCAACATCAACGCCTCCTCTACCAACGATATCCCTTCGAATCAGATGGTATTTGCGCTCTATGTGTTTGCTTGCCATGTGGGCTCAAGGTTCTTTTGAGTTCGCTACTGCTCCACTGTTATCACAGTACACGGTGAAACCACATGGCAAACTCGGTATAACCTCTAAGTCCACTAAGAAGTTCCTGAGCCAAACTGCCTATTTCGCTGCCTCTGAGGCTGCTATGTACTCGGCTTCCATGGTGGAGTCTGCCACGCATTTCTGCTTAGCACTCCTCCATGAAATGGCTCCACTTCCCAAGGTAAACACATAACCTGAGGTTGACTTACTTTCATCCTTATCTGACTGGAAATCGGAATCATTGTAACCCAGAGGTAACAAGCTGCCTGCACGGTAAACTAACAAGTACTCCTTAGTCCTTCTCAG